CCCCGCGCACTCACGGCCGTAGAGGGCGATGGCGGCGCTGTCGGGGCCGGTGCGGACCTCGAGGCGCAGCGGCTGCTGCTCCTGGTGCCGCTGGATCTCCCCGTTCGCGTCCCCGACCGTGAGGAGCCGCACGCCGGGGAACACCGACACCGCGGCCATCTTGGACCGCGCCGCGCCCCGCCCACCGCGGCCCCGCCCACCGCGGGCCCGCCCCCAGCGGGACACGCCCCTGGATGGACACGCCCCTCACTAAAGACACGCCCCCGAACGAAAAGGGCCACGCCCCCTTCTGGACAGGCCACGCCCACAAGGGAAGGGCGCGGGAGGGAGGGAGGGAGGGGTGCGCCCCCTGGCGGAGAGAGGGGAACGGGACACCGGGAATGGGAAACGGGAACGGGAATGGGAAACGGGAATGGGACATTGGGAATGGGACATTGGGAAATGGGAATGGGACACCGGTAATAGGACACAAGGAATGGGAACGGGACACTGGGAATGGGAACGGGACACTGGGAATGGGAAAATGGGAATGTGAAAGGGACAATGGGAATGGGACATTGGGAGATTGGGAGTGGAAATGGGAATAGGACATTGAGAATGGGAAACGGGAATGGGAAAGGGGAGTGGGACACAGAGATACTGGGAATGGGACACTGGCAATGGGACACAGGGAATGGGAATGGGAAACGGGAATGGGACACGGGGATACTGGGATACTGGGAATGGAAACGGGACACAGGGATACTGGGAATGGGACACCGGTAATAGGACACCGGGAATGGGAACGGGACACCGGCAATCAGACACAGCACTGGGAACCGTCACCACCACTGGCACCGGCGCCGGGATCCCGGGAACGCGGCAGCGCCGGACACAAACCCCAAAACTTTATTGGCAACACCGGGGGAGGGGGGGGGGGGGTCCGGTAACCGCAGCCAGGGCCGGCCTCGATCCGCGGGGACACCGGGACACGCTCCGGGCTGGGGGGAGTACAGAACCGGGACCCCCAGGACCCCTCACGGGGACAGCGACGGCGTGGGAGCCATGGGGAGGCTCTGCCGAGACAGGAGGGACACG